ACTGCAGATAAACCCACAAAACGCTTTTCTTTGTGTCGACGTCTGCGATATGATAATATCGTTAGGTAAGGGCTTATGTCAAAGCATTTCCCCGGTTGCCTTTTGCCATCACGATTGTCATTCGGGGCAAAAAACCAAAAAAAAAAGAGAAAAAGAGAAAGCAATAAATTAAATGCATATAAAGCCATTAAATTTCACTCATTGATCCATTTGGTATTGGCATTTGTACGGGTCCATCATCGCCTTAAGGCAATTCCACAGATTGCAGTTTTCTGCCAAATGACCAAAGTGCCTTTTCACTCGAATTTTCATTTTGGATCCTTTTCTGGTTTACGTTTGGTCGGTTGACAAATGACATAAGCACTCTACACCACCAGCAGCCAAACTGAAAGGCGAACAAACTGTGTTGTGTGTTGTGTGGCCAACAAAAGAGCAAATCATGCTCATATAAGGCCAGTCTTTAGCCGCCGTTTGGCTGACACTTTCAGGGTCAACCGGTGCGTAATCAATGGAATCACCAATGGAATCGGAATCACCGCCCCCGCAAAACAGTTCAACGTTTGCGGAAATCGAAACCGAAGGTGGAAGGTGGAAGACAACCTTAAGATGCTCAAAATGCAATTCCACTGAGCCAAAAACAAATTGATGGCAAATAAACAAGTTGAGCTTACACTGAGAAAGCAGTTAAATTACTTTTAAATTAAGAATTATAAATATATTAAAATTATACATATACAATTAGTAAATGCTAACTAACGAATTCTAATGATATTTGAAATGTGTTAACAGATTGGATAGGAAACTATTGATCTTGAAAAGCAGATTTGTCTGAGAAACAGAGGAATAAATATTTATTGAAGAATTGGTAATATGTAATTATATTTTAAAAACGTTTAGAAATCCTAATGATCTTCCAAAATGTGTTAAAAGCTTATTATATATTTATTAAAGAATTAGTAATAAGTAATTATATTTAAAAAAACCTTAAAAAATCCTATTGATCTTCCAAAATGTGTTAAAAACTTACTATTGATCTTGTATCACAGATTTTTAAATATTTGAAGCAACACTATTTCTGTGCTTTAAAACCTAAACTCTATTTATTTCATCCAAATCGATTTAGAATATCTCTAACAAAGTTAGGCTTGTCTAATATTGATTTAAGCTATTTGTCCTTGAGTTTTTTGCCCTGCACACTCGTCGGTGCATCCACACAACTTCCTCTAAATATGTATATATGGGAATGTATTCCACGGCACTGTTGTGGGCTACAAAATAAATAAAAATACAAAAACTGGCTTACCTTCTCTCCTCATTGTTATACAGTTGAACTGGCTGTGCTGTTGGTATTGTTTCGTTCGCTTATTTATTGTTAACGCTTTTTGCCAGCCACAGCGACAGGTTGTTAGTTTCTGGCTGCTGTACACATTTCATTACACTTCACTTGGCTGCTGCACCGAAAATCGGAAAAACAAACATGGCAAGAGATGTGGAGAAATATTAATATAAATGAAGGCGATGACGTAGTCTCCTTCAGAGATATGCAAATGCGTTGGTGTCTGTAGAGTGAGTGTGTGTACGTGTGTGTGTGGGCCAAAAACCTTTACTGGTTCTGGCCAAAATGCCAGCCAACACGTTAATACATGGAATAGATCGCGAGGTGTATGATATAATCGCTGTCTTTGCGATGAATGAATGAATGAAAGGCGTTGCAGCTTCTCCCAAGTTGGTTCGAATCGGTTTGAGGCGGCCCAAACACAATGGCCAAGACTTGGAACTCGTCTAACTAAGCTCAAATCTTCTCGGCCCAAACTCTATTTTTTTTTGCGTTTTTGTGTTTTTCTGCGGCGGCTCAGCAAATTGCAGCGCCATAATGAAATGGCCCATAATCTTGGCTAAGGCTAATAATAGCAGCAGGTTTTGGAGCTGGCCAACACACACTCGCACACACAGGCAAAGCTCTGGCTTAGACACAGATACAGATGGTGAGCAATTTTGGCCAGCACTCTGTTCTATTTTTTCTTTCTCGCCAGCAGATCGGGCGTATACTTCACGCCGAAAAAATTCAAATGACACTCACGTAATCCGCTAAAAATAGTTGAATTTGCTGCCCGTTTTTGTGTTTCGTTTTTTTTTTTGTTTTTGTTGGAGTACAACTTTGTTTTGCGATTGTATTGTTTGTCAATCTCGGGGATTGCAAATGCACCGCGATCGGGTTTAAAAATCGAAGCGAACGCGTCGCGATCTCAGCTCGAACTGATCGCTCGGGAGTTGCGACAACGCTCCAGCACCTGTGAGTGGTCTAAACTGGTCTAAAACGCGGCTCGAACCGGTTCTGCTCTTGGCCAAGACTCAGGTCTCTCAAAGCTTTTCGGGCTCTTTCCCAATTTTTCTCTCTGGCTTTAGTGGCCGTGCCGGTCTCCACCATCTGCACTTTGCACTTTTGGCGACTGCATTTTGTTGTCAAACTGCAAAAACTGCATTTAATAACCGTTAACCGAAACTTCTGCAACACGTGCACGTCTATTTGCACACAGAAAACAATTATGGGGTGGAAATTCCGGTGTTTATAATAAAGAAATGGATAACGATAATCAAAACATTTGTCAAAACTAGAGATTTCAATTTAGTTGATTTCTTATATGATTTTAATGCCTCAAATAAATATTTAAAATAAATATATACATAATTTATTTCTTATTGCTCAGTCATTCTAATAAAAGGGGATCTTAATTAATATATTGTGCAAAAAACAACCCCTTTAGTGTAATTGCAATTTTCTATATATCATTTTTGACACGCGATTGCTTCTGTTTATATGTGTTTATTTAAGATTTATCACACCTATAATTTTTATTATTAAAAAAATTATAATAATATTTATAATCAATCTAAAGATAAACCATTTTGTTAACCTACCTCAATTCGATTTTGGTAACTCATTTCTTTGTGAAAATTCGTGTTGATAATTTTTTAATTTTATCTGCTGGTGTGATCCCACTTAATTTTCACTTAAAAAGAGTTTTCATATTATTACTGATAATTATGCAATCAAATTAAATATCGAATCGATTAACATTTTTCAGTGCAGTGGGAGGTCGAGTGGGGGGTAGACGTTACGGAGGTTGGAGGTGAGTTGCATTTGAGGCTTACTACATTAGGCTTCATTGCCTGACAGGCACCACTTTTGGCCAGCTGCCGCACGTGACTGTGCAATGCTTTTGACTGTTGGTTGGGGCATTAGGGGTCAGGCGGAGGGGTATAAGTTGGGGCTTAATTTGCATCATGTCATTAGGATGAGTGGCATCGATAATGGGGCCAGACCTCAGGCTCTCTGGGTCATTTTTCCCGAAAAACCCCTTTCATTCAACGTTTAAGGTTGCATTTTATACTGTTGATGGTATTCAAAATGGTTACTCATGTAAATAAAAATTGCATGCCACATTTCTGCTGCAAGTTCACGTTACATGCTCAAATATAAACACCAGCTTTTACTTTTCCCTCGCGCCATAGAATAAAATATTTCTGAAATTATTCAACAACTTTTGTACAACTTCCGTTGACGCAGTTTGCATCAGTTTATTTCGTTGAATTATAATGGTTGAAATATAATTTGGCATCCAAATATTTGAAGGGGAGTGAAAAGACTTCATCATAACTGGGAAAACAGAAAAAAAGGAAATTACTCATAATGTTTTTATGTTTCAGTTTAATTTCTCGTGTTAAGTGCAGAAGATAAATATACCAGCTATAATTTTATCATTAATTAAACGCATTTTTAATGGGTAATTTTTATATTTATTTTCAGGGTAATTTTTATATTTATTTTCTGGGTAATTTTTATATTAATTTTTTAGAGCTTGTGGGAGACAAGCCCCATACATTTCTTATATTTCTGCAGTTAAGCGGATGTCAAGCTTTTTCTATGTTTGATATCTTTGAAACTGACACGAACAGGATCCTGTGCACACTTTCTTTTCTATTTCAGGTTTCCTGTATGTGTGTGCATTTTTTTGTGGAATTTGTTTCAGTTCCTCGTAGTACGTTACTTTTTGTTTACTTTACGCATCAGGCGCAACTCGAGAACGTCTGATGTTTGTTCTTTGGCACTGCAAGTCGTAAAAAGTTTTTTGTGTGCGCTCTGTGTCCTCGGCTGGTGTCATAAAAGTTGCATAAAACTGCACAGATTTTTCAAACAGAGTGTCGTGAAAAAGTTCCGGGGATATGCCTTAAATACAATGGCGCAGCTAAACGTACGTGTGTATGTATGTTATGTCTCAAAGGATCGCTTTAACGTGACCCTTGCCACTTGCTTTAAATAGCAAGACGTTTGTACGTCATGTGCTGGAAAAAAAAACGGCTGAAAAGAAGGGAAAAATGGCGCCATCGCATGTGTCAGGATTTAATTTTGATAAAAGCTTTTCCACACTTTCACTCCAGACCTTTGACGTGCACCAGATAGTGCCTCAAATCAATTCCGTACACATTTTCCAGGCCGCAACCCTGCCAGCGAGACGACAATTTATTTTCATACCGCCGACGTTGGCCTGTTGCCAGGATTGATTCTAGCTTATCAGTTAAAGAAAGGTCCTGGAAAAAATATAATTTGAAGATTAAGAATTTCCCTGAGTCGTATACAAGAGATTACCATAAAATGAACCAATTCATTGCATTTTAATTGCATAACCAGAAAGCTAGAATAAATAAAATTAGTGAACCTGGCACTATATTTAGTGTTACTGTTAATAATTTAATAAATAAAATTGATCTGATTATCACTTTAATAGTTTTAAATAAGTAAATCCCAATAAAAACTGTCAGTAGTTAACTTTTGTAGTATGTTAACTTTTTTAATAAATTTCTTTATTCTTTATTCTTTATAAATACTGAAAAGAAAACAGAAATCAATTCCATTGCTGTCCAATATTTATCTTAGCCACCTTTAGTCAAACCCTTTTGAATTTCCATCGATTCCACACCGAATAAAATACAGTTGCCAGTTAATTATTCATTGACATTTATTGATTGAATTTGATAATGGTTTTTCTGCAGCATTTTGTTGAATTTACATTGAATATGTGTTAAGGGTTTTCTTCGTTTTCGTACTTATTTCTCCTGTCGCTTTCGCATCGATTTGTTTTGATTTGATATAAGCTGTTGCACAGACACACAATTATGCACCTAGGGTTAGTTAACAGATTGCAGTGTTTGCTATTTGGATATCTGTTCAGATATTTACGGAGGGGAGCTTAGGAACCTGAATTCTGGCCCGTTGGTATTTGCAATACACACACATACGATTTATATGCACTCACGTTTAAAAAAAACTATATATTTACTTTGCTTTTCAGTTAGTAGTTTTTCTTTCAAAATATTTGTATCAAGTTTCGGCGGTGGAGTGTTTTATAGTTCTGTCTTGGCATACAAAAAATACAATAGTTGTAAATACTTAGTATCTGGGGGAAAGTGTGTGGTTTTTTGTAAAAGTCCGCTATAAATGGAACGGGAAAATAAATGTTTGTAACGTATATTATCGAAAATAGTTTCCGTTTTTATTTCTGCTGGTCGACTGCAAATGTGGCAATTAAAAATATTTTTATTTGCATTTTCATTTTCATTCTGTATATGTAGGAGGGCTTTTTGTTGGTTTCCTTTGTATTCTGTAACTAGCACAACAATTGCACATTCAAATATGTATATATATATATAGTTATAGTATAGGGTTTTATGCTTGTTTTGGCCTTGATTTTCAATAGTTTCAGTTGCTTGTGGGTTTTGTTGCGGTTTGGGAAATGCGTTTGGTCTCTTTGTTTGGCCAATTTTCGCATTCCTTATCGGATTCGCTTTCAAATGAAAATTTCACATTTGTTTATATTTATCCTACTCTGCTCGCGATTTACATATTTTTTAGCTAGTGCTAGTAACATGAATAGTTTAATTTGATTTCATTTATTCTTGTTTGCCCACATGTTTGTTTGAATTTGTCTATTCGATATTAGGAAATTATCATAGGTACACATATCAACATAGTAGTTATGGTTGGTTAGTCCAGCAAACGCTTGCCTACATTTATGTTTATCCATTTAACTATTTATTTGCATACTGGTTTTGCTGCACAAAGTATGGAAGATAGCAGTTGAAAGTGAGGAGTTTAAAATAACGAGTGCCCTTGGAAGATACTGAGTGAATTAGGAGCTTTAGTTGAACATAGCATATAGAGCATTTGAAATTATGATTGTACAGCGTTGACTCTACTTCGATGTTTGTCCCTTGGAGATCTTAACTTCTGTCGATGTCTTGGCGATGGCAGACTAAATAAAGTTTAAGAAAAACCGAACTTATTCAACAAAAATTACAGTAGTAGATTCAGATGTTGAAAGGCTGTGCAAATATTTCATACCAAACGATTATCTTACAAACTAAATGCTTGATTACCGATTAATTATTAATCCATTTATCTATATATTCATATTGGTTTGCATAATACTCCATTCATTTGTAATTAACAATCATGAAATTTCTTGCTGATCGCTTGAGTTAAGTGTAAATATTAAAAATAGTTGTAATTTGACTTGGATTTTCATTTCTTTGTTGTGCATTTCTTTAAGTAGTTTAACTTTAGTTTTCTTCTCTAAAATTGTCCTCAGCCACGCCCACTGCCTCCTTTGCGAAAGGTATAAAAAGTACTTGCATTTAGTTTACAGTTTAGAGTTATACAGTTTCGACAATTTTGTTTCTTTATTCATATGGGTTTAAGTTTAAGTTTAAGTTCCTTCATTATAGAGACCATTGTATATAGTACAAAATTTACAATAGAAGCGAGACCTTCTGGGGTGGAAAAACCAATTGGGGAGGGGTGTTCGTGAAAAGTGTTTTTTTTGGTAAAAGTTGGTGGGGATAAAATGGGGAAAAGCCCTAAGTTGTGTATAAGCAAAAGAGCTGAAGGCTGCCTCTCGGGGGACAAGCGCGTGTCTAATAAATTTATACAAAATCTGTGCTCAGAAAATAGTTTACAAATATACTTTAGACTTAGTTACACTGTCCTTTGGGCGTGATATAAAATGTACAAATCATGTACATGCATCTCATGTATTTTCATATATATTGTAAATAGCTTTCTCCTGTTTGTCTGGATGTGATTATGTTCCGTGTGTGTTTGTTTGTTTGTTTGTTTCTTTGTTTGTGTTTTCTGTTTTTTGGGGGGTTTCAAAGAAGCTCAGAGTTACGCAGATTTTTGATTGTTTCTTGGCGTTTGGTAGAAAAGGTGCTGAACTGTCCTTTGTATATTTAGGTATACATGTTGCTGATATATATTCGTATAGTTTAAATTGACCCAAAAAATGTGTAGTAATCCGCAAATCCTTAGTTACATATCTTAATCGTGTTTTTCGTGGTAAAAGTCTTCAAAACGCATCTGGGTGCTGGAGTAGGTAGCTCGAGTTCAGTGTGTTCGTACATGAGATTTTGCTGGCTAATTCATTTTCTTTGATTGCCCAGTTGTGACAATTTCAGCAATAGGCTTGGCTTCTAATAAGACCCTAATTTTTGTTTTTTAATTTATCCGTAATTTTGTTCAAGCAACGTTTAGTTTAGAGCAATGGGAAACGGAGTTCCCATTTCCTGCCGCTCGTCACTTTTGCACCATTTGAATTTCGATTCTTCGCTAACATTTACAAACTGAAGAGAAGGAGGAGTCTTTGTCAAACAACTAGATTAAGTACAATACATACAATGCTGGATTGGATACAATTTAGCTTTGGTTAAGTTATCATCGTCGCCATCGATGCAATTTCATTGATCGATCCGTTCAAAACGTTTTACAAACGGTTCGTTCGGTAGTCCTGTGTTCATCTGTATCTATCCCTCTTAGAATCAATTGATAAATCGCGCCTTTTGCTTGCGCACAAAATCCTGGGCCTGTTTGTCGTTGATTCGCACTTCGAGGATTTGCAAAATAGGATTGCCTTTTTTGTGGGAGGGGAAGAACATTTTACATGGCATCGAGCAGGAGATTTGGGTTGTCAGGAAATATTTAACTCACATTTATCCTTCTGCTCCATGAGTGGCAGTTCGATTTGCTTCAGCCCATGGAAGTTGTCCACACTTGTGGAGTAGTCCGCCACCCCGGGAATGTTGCCCAGTGCCAAGTAGGCCTCGCCACCGAAATCGTTGGCCGTCAGGACATCGTGGTCCATCACGGTGAAGCAGATCATGGCACCCTCGGTTAAACACTGCTCCAATGTCACGGAGAACTCAAAGCATTCGTCGAACACGGGGTGAAGAGTGCGCTAAAGTTGGAAAATAATAATAAAAAAATTAATAATAATTACCTACGGCTATGCTCAATTTAAGATATATTTCGCCTATACGTAGAAAACCATTTAAAATATTTTCGTTTCATTCGATTACTATTATTAATTCGAATACTTAATTTTGTTATTTTAATTTTTAAAATGTGTTTACCCTGCTTTTCAACTACGAACTTTGAATTTAATATTTACTTTTATGTGAGTTTTTTAAAGAAAATCGTTTAGTTTTAATGTGGTAAAATGTGGTAATTTTAGACTATATAGTAATTGTTCTTCTGAATTTTATGATTTTGTCTCAGAAACAATGATAATTATAAATATTTAATTGAATAAAAATAAAATAAATTTGTTGTTGTAATTTGAAAAATGCGTTTACCGTGTTCTTGACATGAAACTTCGAATTTAATAGTTTAATTATATCTGAGTATTTGTTAAATGTCCTTCTGAATTTCGAAGCAATGTGAATTATAAATATATAATTGAATAATCACCTTGTGCACATTAGTCTGCTGCTCCATGCAGTGCAGAAATATCCTCCGTGGCAGAAGCTCTATGACCACGAAGGGATCGCTGAAACCATTCGGATCCAGAGGCACCACATCCCTGGCATGCAGGACCTCCACGCAGAGCGAGTCGTGGTTGAAGTAGGCCCTCACGGCCAGGGATCCGTAGGGTGAGGGCATGACGGCCATCAGCTGCTCCCTTAGTCGCTGCATGTAGAACATGTCGATGAGCCGATCCGTGTCCGTCTTGTGGAACTGCAGCCTCTGCTCGATGCGCCAGAAGTCCTCGGTGTGCAGGCACTCCAGGAGCAGGCCCTGACCCTCGGCATGGAAGAAGTCGATGAGCAGCTGCAGTGCCTCGTACAGACGCTTGTGGAAATGCGTCGGCTTGTCCGTCTCATCGCCCGTCTCCATTTGGCGGGACATCTCGCCCAGAACCGTTTTCCAGATGAATCGCAGCGAGCGATTGAAGTTCTTGGTGAGCAGGGCGCTGTTCAGGGCGGCCAGGTGGCAATCCAGGTACTCCAGCAGGGGCACAATGGCCTGGTTGGCGGGCAGGGAATCGGGTGACCAGGCCAGATGGAACATGGCCTTCTGCAGGGACATCTGCATGAGGGGGGCCAGCTTGGAGAGGATCCTCTCGCAGCGGTTCTCCATGTGGGTGAGACTGGACTCGAGCAGATTGTCGGCCGACTCCTCCAGCGGCTGTTCATCGGATCGAAACTCGGCCAGAGTGCGACGCACATACTCCACATTGTTGACCGTCACGCACATGTCGTCGGAGCACCGGAATGGACCCTGCTGCTCGTAGTAGCCACTGTCCGCCAGGGCGGTGTGGATCAGGTCGCAGTAGTGCATGGCCGCCGAGCAGACCACATCGATTAGCTGCGACTCCATCATGATGGCCGTGTCCTCGTCCGGCCAGTTCATCACCTTCCAGAACTCCTTGATGTTCAGCAGCGTGCTGGCCGTGTCCACCGAAGAGCTACTGTACCGCACAATCCGCTCACCCTCGCAGATGGCGTCCATCCTAATGGCCGCCCTAATCCTCTGCAGCGCCTTCGCCTTGCTCACCATCATCCAGCGCTCCAGCGTCGGGATGAACCACTCGTGGCTGTTGCTCAGCGCCAGCGGCTTCTCCGGCGGCTGTGGCTGGGCGGACAGGTGTCGCTTCAGCTGGCAGAACTCCTGCAGGGCCAGGAAAAGCTCGAACGGCTTCGTGTCCACCGGCTCCGCATCGCCCTCGAGCACGGCGTACTGGGAGAGGTTCATCCGCACCCCGGGCACCTGGCCAGCGGCCATCCGGCTGTACACCTCCTCGCCCACCATCGCATCGTATTGTTTGTAGATGATGCTGAAGTACTGGATGCCGTTCGTGCTGCGGGGAAACAAAGGGGCGTTTACGTGGTGGGCCATCGATTTATGGGATTACTTTGGCTCAGGGGTTTCTGAATGTTATTGCATTAATTACTTCTGTGGCCCTTTTACTTTGTTCTGTCTTCTTTTCTGTGTTATTGAACTTAAACCTGGCTGGCCAGTAATTTAGGTTACAGAAAATAGGGAAAAGACAACTGAGAAGCTTAACTATCGATTTCAGGTTGATTTGAAAACCTTAACTACATCATTTGATTGGTCATTTAATGACGATTTTAACACTTTTTTAAGAGATTTTTTGTTCTAATTTCGCCAAAATACGAAACACAGTCAAATGAATGGCTGTTTTGTGCAGCTGTGGGCCTAAACTATCAATTTTAAATTGATTTGGAAAAAAACAATTTTTCAACCAATTTTATAATTTTTTTAAGGGCTTACCTCATGATTTTTTGCAAAAATTTACCAAACATAAAAAATTTTAACTGTGAATGCCATTTGATTGCAAATTTAATGACGAATTTAACGAGGTATCACATTTCACTATGTGACCATTATTTTCCAGGGTTTTGGTCAAAAAGCCGAAACTTAAGTGGATATTGTCCTAATTTTTGTCAATTTTTAAAAGTTTTTTGTTCTAACTTCGCCCAAATACGACTCACAGCCAAAAGAATGACTGTTTTGTTCAGCTAAGGACATGAGCTATCCATTCTATGTTGATTTGGAAATAAAATATTTTTCACCCATTTTTCCATTTTTTATAAGGAGAAAACTCATGAAATTTTGACCAAAAGGAAATTTTTTAGCTGTGTATGCCAATCGATTGGAATTTTTATAACGAATTCAACGAGGTATGACATTCCAACATGTGACCATTATTTTCCAGGATTTTGATTAAAAAACCAAAACTCGTATTGATTGTTTCGGGCTTTTACCTTAAAAAACGAATTATAGTATACGTTTCCCATTGCTTTTAATTTATTTTTCAAAATTTCTAGAAAATTGATTACATAAAAAAGTCATGACTAGAGATAGCCCTTCAAGTCGTCTGTTTGCCTGAGGCAGCAAATTATGGCTTCCTGAGTTTAAAGCGGGGCAATTAGCCCGTAAGTAAATTTTGCTAATGCTGCCCGACTCGGAGCTCAACACTCAACACTCAACACTTTGGCTGACAGCCTCTGGACATTTGTTAAATGCCTCGTCAGGATGTCCGGGCTGCTCGTCCAGCCAAAAGAAAAACGGGCAACGTGAGAGCATTTTTATGACAGCGCAATTAATTTGGGGCTTATGTGTGTAAGCCACTTGATGTCCTCATTAAGGTCCTTTTATGGCCACGCTAACTGGCAAATATGTGACTGATTAGTCCGGCGGGAGGACCAAGGACCTACCTATAAATGAAGCGTTATTGAAGCCCTTCCGGTTTCCTTTCAATGACGTAAAGTGATCTGTGCCGTTAGCGGATCGATTTATCATTTAATTTAAGAGGTATTTTGAAATTGTGACAAGAAAAAATTCTATTGGCTCACTCTCAATGAAAAGTAAATCACATCTTATCAAAGGTTCTCTTTGGGTATGATGAAGCGTTTTTTGTATAATTAATTCACTACAAACCCCAAATACAAAGCACATTTGTAAATATTATAAACATCATTTAGATGAGCCAATCATAATTATCTTAATCCAAATAGGAAAGCGAGTAGCACGGGTAAATTGATTATTTTTGACAAATAAAACGAAGTATTGATTCCTCTGTGTAAATTCCATAAATATATGTTTTCCCTCCGGCACTTAATTTAAATATTTACCAATCAAATAAGAAGAATAAAGCTTTTACCTGCTCAATGAAATGGCTTCGGTCTTTACATTTACGAAAATAGTTGAGATGACAAACAATTCTCCAGAGCACTCCCCTTCGGGGTAACTATTTCTAGAGCTATATTCCCAGCGCTGCTGGCAATCTGTCATGACAACATTCTGTGGCCCTCATTAATGCTCGTTAGCTTTATGACTTTGACTCGGCCATTTGACAAATGCCCCAACTGATTAGAGAACTGGCAACTGTAAAGTGCTCCGCCCCCGGCGACGATGGTGGATTAGTTGGAATCGAATGGAATGACGCCATTTGGGGGGGCTTACCCCATTCAATTGGGTCAACGTCAACACCGAGTGCAGTGTTCACATGGTAACGCGGATTTGGTGCGGATTCCCATCCCCATTGCTTTACTTTTGTTAAACTGCTCGGGACATTTTATTTGTTCGGTGGGAGTGTGGACCTTGGACCCGTTTAATGGGCCACACGTGTGCCACATACTCAAATCCAGTGGCAAGGTTGCAAAAAGGTAACTAAATGTGATATCCGAAATCAACTCACTTGTCGAAAAGGGCATGATAGTAGGTCTGTCCCAGCTGAATGTCGGCCGTTAATGTTGTTACGAAATTCGATAATGGATTGGGCAGGCCCTGCGATTCCCGCATCACCGTCTGGCCCCACATCACGGATCCCTTGCGCAGGGCGTTGACCACCTCGCCCCTCACGCCCTTGTTAAAAGGACACACGGCCCTGAAGGCCCTCATCGAACCAAGGAGTCCCAGGCAGCGCAGCAGGAACTCCAGGCGAATCAGCGAGGGCGGATTGAGGGCGGGGAAGATGTCCCGGTGCCGACGGATTTGGTTGAGGGAGCGCTCCACGAAGCCGTTCATGGCATCCGCCAGCCACTGTTCGAGATCCCGACTGAGGGCCTCCTGGTTCGGCTGGTTCCACTGCTTCTCCACGTCGCTGAGCAGCCGGTGCAGGAATTTGGGGTCCAGCGGGGTGGAGCGATTCAACTTGGCAGCAGCCACATATCTGCAAAGGCGAGAAGTTTAGGGAATTAGGATTTGTGGAAGTTGCTATTAAAGAAAAGCTTTAACATAATGGAAAATTTGGATAAAATATAATAACCATTTGTAACCATTGTAAGATAGTTAGTTCTTACACATAAGTTATATAACATATACCACTATTACAAAATAAAAGCAACTGTTGGCATAGGTATATTATAATGTCTTATTATTTTATGACGAGAATTAGGCGTTTGTATTCGATGACCTAAACTACATTTACTGTTGATTTCTAAAAAGTATATTTCATAGCCAATTTTTGCATTTTTAGTAATGGTTAAAACTTCTCAGCTTTGATTCAAAGGTTTATTCAAATTGCTCTTTTATAGGAGACATGTGAAACAAGTAAATTAACTAATTGTAAGTTTAATTGATAGAAATTATTAAAATATTTTAAATATGGTTTTCTACGAACTCCTTTGTCTCTTTATACTTATACTTTCCCTGCTATTAAAGTTATATAAAAACGCACCTGGCCATGGCGCAGTGTAAGTCCGAGAGATCCGACTGCACAGCCAACTGATGCAGGATGGTGAGAGCAGGTCCTGGCAGGTCGCCACACCAGGTCCACGAAGGCTCGTGCGTGGTGACCTCGTGCTGCATGAAGACCCTTTGGAGCTGCTCCACCTTGTGGATCTGCTGCTCGTGGTTCTCCTCGGCGACGGTGCTGCGATCCTCGCGGGTCGAGAGCCACATCTTGAGCCGGATGCGACCCTGCACGGTGCTCCGATGACTGCGTGCCTCCAGCTTGAACCAGGCATCCAGTCCGGTGGATGGGATTTCCGACAGCGGAATGTTCACGGAGCCCAGGAAATCGTCCTGGGAACCCTGACGAGCCGATTGACACACCTGCTTGAAGAACCTCCCCAGTCCACGAACTCCACGGACCTCATTCAGTCGCGAGACGGCGTCCAGGACGCAGCTTTCGTCATCGTGGTCCCAAATGTCCAGGTGGAAGGTGTCCGTATTGATGTCATCTATGTCGCTGCAGGAGATAATTCCAGATTCGAATAAGTGATTGCAAGATTTATGCACTTCATTAAATTTTAAAAGATTCACACATGTTAGCATGTGTTTATGGTTTTTCCTAAAACACTTGTCTGGGTTTTGCTGCTCCATTTAATTTATTACATGATTCATTGCTGTCTTTAAATTGAGAACACTTTCCCTCAGGCTTGCTGTTTATTTCTCAGAAAGGACACGCAAGAAATTTTTAAAATTCTCCTTGATTCGTAAATAATATTTAATTTGTTATTTTTTTGAACTGGCTTTTCACAGTTTGCAAACCAAATTAAATGTATTTATTTATATTAAATGGTATAAATATATGTTTAATTTGAAATGTAAATATAAACCTGATTATTTATTGGTATATCAGGGTATTTTATATTCGTATGAGTAGCTTTTTTATTTTCCTATTCCACTTTTATTGTAATTGCAACATAAATTTCATTGCATTTCTCATCGAACATTTCATTTGTGCATTTGTGTTTCAATTTTATGGGAAATGTAAATGAATTTCTTTCTTTTATGCCTTACAACTCGTAAATTACATACGATATTGAAACGAATCGTTGAGCATGTGACAGGGCTCAGAGTCCACAGATGCCAATGATTTGTTTGAATTTCTGCGTGGCTGTGGCCTGGTTTTCTCATTTATCAGGAGGTCAGGCGCAAATAATGAATCCTGCCTCCTTACTTAAATTTTATATATCTACAAATCTGTCTTTAAATGTGACGGGTGTCCTGATGATTTGGCTATTAGATTTGAACTTACAACTTGAACTTCTCGTTCCATTTGGGCGTCAGTGTGTGGGGCTTGATGCTGGTCGCCTTGATGAGCTTGGCCGGCACCGGTCCGCCCAGTGAGTCGCGCTGCTCCCGCCGTCCCGCCTCCCGCCGCTTGAAGCTCAGCCGGAAGCTGTGCTTGCGGTGCGGCGGCGAGTCCGTGGCGCTATTGTCGAATCCGCCGCTCATGTCCGCGGAGAGGGCGCGCGGCGTCGGCGGCAGCGGCAGCGGCGACACGGGCGGACCGCCGTTCTCGTCCGGCTGGATGCCCAGCATGCAGTACGGATCCGAGAAACCTGTGCAGGTCATAAATAAATGAGTAGCATTAGTAGTGCTCGAAAAAATCAAGTAGAATTCTATTCACAGAACGGACTAAACGGAAATACAAAGAGAAAAATATTGTGCTCACATTAGGAAAGTTGATAAATGTGATCTCAATGAAAGGGATCAAAAAACATGACATAGATTAGAATAGAGTAGCTTAATGCTTATAGTCTTTATGTTCTCTTATTGGCAGATTTAATCATTATTATAATTTTCATTATTTATCTGAAATCTAACATAATCTAGCTTATTTCAAGGAAACTTAAATGATTTATTATAATCAAAAATAGTTGAACCTTGTAAAGTCAATGTTTCTATAAATCGAACTAGTCGTAGTGATTTTGGGATTGATTTTTTTGTGTGCAAAGGAATTTGTTTGGAAGAAATTTCTTTAGCACTCCGGTATAAGCGAAAATTTCTTAAAAACCCGAAATTTTTAATACGAACTGTATGGCATTTCAATATAATTCTATATTTTTGTTATGGTTAAATACCAACTATTCATTAAAATGAAAAACTAATATCATTACAATATTAAATATTTATTAAATTATAATTTAAATAATAATCCAATGTACACAATGATTATTTAATTACAAGACCATAAATGTGGCATAATGTAACTGATATTATGTTTTTATCTCTCTGAAGGACAAGACAAAAAGAAGGGAAAAGGGGGGTGGAAAAGGGAGGGGTAGGCAAAGGAATGGGAAATGGTTTCGCATTAATGAAGAGCTCGCCTGATGACATTAAATGCCAATTAATGGCACTGCCCGCGGGGATAACGTGGCGTCAGCTGGTCCCAGTCACACATTGCGTATGATTAACATTTCATTTGCATAAAGTGCCTCTCAATTATTGAGTGCCTGTGATTTACGCGCACAGCAGCCTCAGATGTCCGTTGCCAAGATTAAGATTTTTGCACGAAGATCCCCATAATTGAAACAATTACGCTGCCTTGGGGACAATTTTCTGTTATTGGTATTATTTCATGGCGATTAATTTAATTGGGTTCAAAATGCCAGCAAATAAGACCGGCCCATATCCGATTGCCCAATACTGATTAGGTACTAAAACCGATTCCTTCCGATTTGGATTTACTTTCAGTTGGTTTTTCGCCGGTAAATCGATTACGCCACAAAAATGATTCATTTGAAATTCAGACCCGTACATCGAGGCAGCCATTGTAATGGGCAATTTGGTTGTTGCCTTTCATGCTTGACCAATCTGCAAGGAATCACTGGCTGCTAATGAAAATCGAACCGAACCGAACGAAACGGAACTGAACCTGATTCTCCGCTTTCGCAGCTTATTTGCCAATCGAGAATGGCCCAAACAAAAGCAGCTCTCGCTCTCATCGGCCACGTTTCATTGGCAACGAGTTGTTTGCCATCTGCCCAGGGCCCCATCCTCATCCTCATCCTCATCCACCGGATGCCTCATTCTGGCCTATTTGGTGTTGCCTCCAGACGGTGGCCGTCATCAGTACATTTAGCAGATGGCAGACGGCACACTAACACTGCACTACTGCGGGGGGCGGTGGGGAATGGGGCACTGAATCACTCGGGCGGTGGAAAAATGCTCCAACAGAAGCAGACGTAGACGAAGGAGCACTCAACGTATTCCTTACACATCCTTGAGCACATTAAAATGCGAAATTGCGTTGCCTTCGATGAGGCTGCTGCTGCTTCTGCACAGAGAACAATTCTAAGTCTTATTTTATATAACTATAAAAAGCTGGAAATTATAACAAATATAAAAACTATTATTCTTTTAACAGAGTGCGGATGGATATTTAAAAAATAACTAGACTTTTGGTAGGTTGGTAAATATTGGTATCACTATAAAGTCATCTCATATTAATAAATGAAATTTAAATTAAATAAAATTTAATTCTTCATAAATAGTGAATTGCAAATAAATTGATTTAAAATGTTTTATAAAATAAAATAATAGCTCCTTTTCTTATAGTTTGCCTAAATCGAAGTAGAATTAGTTAAAATCACAATAGAAATAAGAATGCAGTGAAAATTCTCAGTGGCTTAATATTGTATTGTGCTTCTAGTCATAGTTATTCTACCGTATTTTGAAAATCAGCTTTTTAAGTTATTTAAAATCAGAGTAAAATTAATGAATAAATAAGTATTAAGTGAGATTTCTCCCCGTGCATTTCTATTTCTGGTTGTGGGGCTTCTGGCTCTCGAGCATAATGAACAAAATGGGAAGCATTAAATTGCAAATTTATTGAACGCACACTGCGATGGAGCCAGAAGAGGCATAACCAAAACTGTAGCTTTGACTTGGACTTGGATCGGAAGGGAGGACAACGAAATCGCTCAGAACATACCATATAGTATGGCATAATTGGGGGAAATAGTCAACGCACATGGTGCCTCAGTTTATGGATGGCTCGTTTGGCTTTTTGATTTGCCCAAGTGCATACACACACGCACCGCCACAGAGCTTCATAATGCAATTACCGCAGTAGTCGCCGCAAAATCAATTTACAAACTAAAAATATTTACACACTATACATAGATAGACAGATTGACACATTGGATGGGTGGATGGGGGGTGGATGGGGTGGAAAGCAGAGTGTGGAAAGTGTCGATTGTGCGGAAAGCTGGTGGTGGAGGAGATGGCTTACCATTGGCGTCCTTTGCCTCGAGGCCATCAGCTTCGATTACCACCGCAGAGAGTACGATTATCTTTGGTTTATCCTCGGCGGAGGCGTGCAGCAGGCGATAATGACGATCCGGATTGACACCGAAGGCGCGCTGTGCGTGCAGATACATTTCGTCCTTGTAATGTGCAAACTGTGTTCGCCATTTCCCATTGCCAAGGCGAAGAAGCATGTGAGCCACATTACGTATACGCCGCAAGTTGCCATGGGGAAAAGTAAATATTTTATAAATTTAATTTAATTATATTGTCATTTATCTGTAAATATTTTGGGTGTCAACAAAATTATATTTTCATTTAAGACTGAATTTGCATATTTTGCTTTGGCAGAAAATTCATTTATTGCCCCCCTTTTCAGCCACCCATTAAACAGAATCCTGTTTTCGTTCATTCTCTTTTCGTTTTTCTCTCATCTCTATTGATTTATCTCCCTTGAATTTATTAGCCTGTCGACTTTTGATTTAGATCACGCTTCAAAAAGCGCTTTCATCACGTGGATGTTATTTTAATTTGATTGCTTTCGCTGCAGTCAAAATTATGAATTATAAAAGTGCAAACAGCCTGCATTCAGTGTGAGTTGTAAATGAAATTCTAATTACATTATTTTTATTTTAATCCTCTTATTTAGAAGATGACGGGCGTGACTGCCGAAATCCAAATCAATGATTGGGTTTCAGAATGAATAATGAGCAGGCAGAAAATGTGAGACAACTGGAATAAGATTGATTTGGGTATATTTGCAACACACGGAATTTTTAAGCAGACAAATTAAATATTCCTTCTCATGTGTGCTTTGCAAGAGAAGGAACACATTTCTGTTTAAAGCTCCATTTATCAGCTTAAGTTTAACCTCATTAAGTTTATAAGCGAGTTCCCTTATTAACGCTGCAAATAATTCTTTATAATTGAAAGTAATCTCGGTTTCATTCAAGGGCAGCTCAACTCAGTTTGTTTATCTTTTTAATGAACACCACTTGGGCAGATTATACCTAAGCAACCTTCAACAACCAACATCTGTTCGTGCAACTTTCTTGCACTTCCATTCCGTTATTACTTTTATATTTTATTTTTTCTCTTTTCATTAATTTCCATTAGAGCAGGCTTAACCCTCTGATGGCGCTGGCCGGGCAAATCGCATTTATTTGTAATTATTTACCATTAAATGCAGGAACTCGAGCGCAGAGACGGCCAGGCAATAACTTTGCTGACATGGCCAACTCACTTCCTCGTTCCCCTGCCCATTTCTCTATCCGCTTTGCGGGGACCCGCGAGATTTGACCGGTTTCAACTCAATCACAGCAGGAGGACGAACGTTATTTTTCCGCTACTAGTTGAAACTTTTGTTATGCTGGCATAACCTTGCCATCCAGGACTTCACTCCATTCCACTCCACTCCACTCTACTCCATTCCCATCGGGGAGCTGCTCAAGTTTCATTAGTTGTGCACTGGGCGTCTAACAATTTTCTTACTGCTAAATTAAAAACGATAATTGAAAAATGAACTCTAGTTAAGCTGGGGCCCCGGCCATTGCAGAAATATGGTAGAAATATTGGAAAATTCCTTTTCAAATGGCAATCAGCAATGAAGAGGAAAAGTAGCACATTTTTAATTGAATTTTTGCTCCTCGACATCGACTTGAGAGCTCGGAAACGAAATGATGTTACCCCTGCTCCTTGATTTCCCTTCCTTAGTACAAAATCAGCAAATCCCGGAATGTGTTTTCTTGCCTTTGGGCAACCCGAGCATTAATCATTCAAATTGCAAAACGTCTCAAAGCCTAATGCCGGCGATTAAGCCTTTCAATCATGTGGTGTCCCCGGCCTGAAGGCAAATGTTTTTGGTATCCCTTAAATCGCCTTAATTTGTGTAATTTGCAACTATTTGCATAACTCCCCCGAAAGTCCCGAGTCCCGTTTCCCGTGTCCCAAATCATAATTTTATTCCAGGAGCAACTATCCCTGAGATATTGATTTACCTGGCCGCCCGGAGCCGGAGCACCGACCGTGTTGGCAATGGTGTGCAGGACCTCCGCGTACAGCTTCTCCTTCTCGTCCTGGCGGTCAATGGTCTCCTCGGTCGCCGGCGGATCACGTTCGTTCTCGGGATTAGCCTCGGCACGTGCTTCGGCGGCACGCGTGGCCGACATGCGACGATTTTCACGTTTCCAGCCGAGCGATGTAAAGTTCTCGAAGTACGAGCCGTCCGTTTCCTGAACTCTGTGAATGGAAAATGTATGAAAAAATAGGGTTATATATGTGTGTGTGTGTGTGTGTATTTTTTATAGACTCTCACTCGATTCGATTTCAAAGGATATTCAAATCAACTGCTGCCGTTGTCAGTTCGGTGTCTGACTTTAATTGGCACTGTCAATATGCCGTTGCCAACATACAAATGTGACATTGCCGTACCTATTTCAACATTGATAAGGGTCGTCGCCTGTTGCCGGGGACCACTCGGCGTATGCTTGATGCCCCAAAGCGAAGGCTTACCCTGAGCCGCTAATTGTATACAAATATTCACCAGTTTGCATACAGATAAAAAATATTTTGCACAATGGAATGCTTTTTAGTGAATGTTTCAACCTTTAAATATTTTGAATAAATTTGACCAGGATTTAAACTTTAGATGGTATAAAATATATCTCAACATTTATTTGAAAAAAACGACTATTGCTTTTTCAAAAATGTTTAACTTTAATTAATATTATATTAAAGAAATAGAATCAACGGTTTTTTTTCTAAGCATTAATAAGTTTTTTAAATTGAATCAATTTAAATTTATATTGAGTATTTTTAATATTATTATTGAAAAAATGATGAGCACTTAAAATTCAGGTTTTCTTATCCAGATTGCCTGTTTTTTCACAGTGCATAAGGGATTGAAACTGTCTGTGCTTGGGTCCTAACTAGGGCTAGTCACGATAGTTGATGCTCTGCCTAATCATTTGATTTGCAGCCCCCTTCACTTTTGCAAAAGCCCACCGGATTTATCCGAGCAGCTGTGGCAAAAAAAGTTGGTCAAAACTTTTGCCCACTCAGCAGGGAAACAGCTAAGCGGCTTAACTTTGTCGCCGGCGTTGATGATTTTTTACGTTTACGTTTATGGTGAAAAATAAACTGAAGAGACCCCCGAAAGTAGGCAACACTTTCTGTCGGCACTTTTTGCCATGGTCCCATAACACTTTCCGTGAACACCTCTCGGTGTTAATACACACTTTTATATATAGACGTGGGCATGGGTGTGTATTTCGGGGCGGGAGGCGTGTGAAAATGGTCAACATAATTGCCGTAAATGATGGGGTAGACTCAGTCAGCCCAGGACACTAACTGCATTGTCTGAACTTGTCCCTCTCGAAAGTTGTTTGTAAAAAATTTAATTTTAAACTTTTCGCCCAGCTGTTTGTTTTCCTTTTATTTTTCTTCTTGTCGCTTTGCTTTGTGATTTCATCGCTTACAGAGACACTCAATTTCGGTTTCAATTTTTAAGATTTTTCACAGTTTCCTTCTACCATTTGTTTTTTGTGGCTCAGGGAAAAGTTCTTGAGGAACTTTTTTTTATTTCTTTGGCATTTATTTTGTCGCAAATATTTATTTTGTATTTAACTTTAAATAAACAATTTTCAGTCGCAAAAGTTTTTTTTACAACGCATACTCTGGACTTTCCAGCACATAATTAATATTGGTTTTTAGTTTTTCTGAATTTTAATTCATGCTAAATAATTTATAAGCATCAACACAATGTTGATAACAACTTATCTGCCTCTTGACACTGCGTTCGTTATTTATTTCCATTTTACTAAATTTAATGCCTGTGGTGACAAATCAATTTTGTGGCAATTTTCAGTTAATGCATAAAATATGAAATTTCGTACATCAATTGGATTTTAATAAGCTAAATGCTTTGGTTTGACTTCCTAATTGTAGATGAAATTTCTTTTTAAATGGATTGCAATTAAATGCAGATAAATCAGACAGGTGGAAAATTCGTTAGCATTTCGTGAAAAATTAATTTGTAGTGGTCAATATTCGCTCAATATTGTTGAAGTGCTGCAGGTGAAAAGTTTACAAAGCGTCACAAATTAATTTCATCCTCGAACAACTTCGTTACGAAGAGGCCAATTATGCAGGAAAGCCAAGCATGTTAATGGATGTTAAAAAGTTCTAGACAGCCCTCTTCAGAACGCATTTCACACTTTCGGCTCATCAAAACCTTATATTTCTTTTCGCCATTCTCCAAAGTAAACCTCATTTTCGGGCTTAATTAAAAGTAACCTGTGATCCAAAACTCGCGACGAGCGCACATTTCCAGGTTAAGCAGATGCCGCATTATGCAAAGTGGCAGGGCTGGCTTTGAGCCACAAAGTCGATGTTGCAGCGGCTGGAGGATGTTGCACCTGTCAGCCAGATTCTTGGCCACATTAAGAGCAATCTAGGCGCTCAAGGACCAAAGGGTGCCTTTAAGTCTCCCCCAAAGAACAAGACTCTATACGATGGTTGTGTGTGTGGAGGTTTTTGCCCCAAAATAAAACTTTTCCACACTCAAAAGGTTTGGCCCGCATCCGAAGTTGCCATGGTCTTCTGGTTCGTGGGTGGGTGCGAAAGTTTCTTTCCCAAATTTCCACACCGAACTAACTGAAAGAACTTTTGTAATTACGTAATTATGAAGGTCGAGCGGTAAAGTTTCGTTTGGCAATTCGGAAAACAAATCGAAAACACAACTGAAATTGAAGTACATTAATTAATTGGTATATAATTTTATTTTAGCTGCTCGGCAGTTGTGACTTTAAGTTCCACCCGCTTATTTACGGCCCAGCAAATCCCAGAAGAGGCTCATTATGCCAGCCTATTTAATTTATGCATTTCACATTCGAATACCTCTGTCTCTCTGCACGCGTGTGTGTGGGCGTGTAAATATCTGGCAGCCAAGTTTGGGCAAAATATTAGCATTTCCCTCTGTGGGTTAATTACCTCCAGCAAACATGCTCAACCGAGGCCTTCTCGTCAGACAGGCATTTAATTTGCCAAAGCCATTCGCACTTCATCAACTATGCATTAGGATGGCCCCAGCATGGACTTGGTATTTGGACTTGGATGTGGATTTGGACTCACCCGGAATCGGAGCGCGGGTCCACTTCGGGCCAACTCAGCCGGCGTTTGCAGAAGGCCAACGGGGGACGAGGGGGCGGATCCGGCTGGTGGAGCGGCGAGTTGCGCTGCCTGAAGGATCCGGTTCGGGGCGGGGCCAGGCATTCCAGCGCCCGCGACTGACGACGCGACTGGGGCGTACCGCCACTCCCACCGGAGGCGGATGTCGAGGGACTGCCGGGTCCCGCAGCCCCACCTGGTATTTTCGGGTATCCTTTTGATAGAGAAAAAAAGAAGGGGTAAAAGCATGAGCAAAATAGAAGGGAATTAATTTAAAGCAGGCGGGAAAAATATGTATACAATTTAATTTTTATTTTTATCTTGTTTGATTTGGTTTAATTGGGGAAACATAAGCTATTTTCCATTAAAAACTTATTCATAAAGCTTTTTAATTTATTAATTAGCAAACTAATGACTAGTTGTGTGGGCCAATAAATATATTTGCTAGTTATAATTACCAACTTATTTATAAAGCTTAAAAAGGCCTTGAACGAATTTCAAACTAAATCTAGTTATGAATTTAATTCACACGAATATACCAATTTATCAGTAATTTCATTAAACTACTCGTTTATAAAATTGGTGTTTAAATATTTAGATAAATTTAGGAAGCAATTTTAGGATGCTGCAAAAATATATTAACTAAAATATTGATACCGATTGCTAATAACCATTAAATTATACATTTTAGGTGTGTCTTTTTGTGGGTGTTTTTAACTTTTAAGAACATAACTTTTCTTATGGGTTTCCTTATTAGATTAGTTTATATAAATCAATTTAAAGCTTGAGCTATTTTCTTTAAAAAAGTCGATCTTGCCAACTACAAACAACTTAAATTTAATAATTAATTACTGTTACTTAAGGAAACATTTACTTAAACAGCAGGAATTCTTATATATTCGTTAATATCTTTGTTTTGTTTTCTGTGGTAAAAACTACTTTAATGAACTTTCTTCTCGAAGCAGATTGAACAGTTCAAAGTTATACAACAAGTCGGTTGTTGGAAACAGTTTCCCCTGGGCCATATCCCATAATTCCCACAATGCAAATATCTGCGGCACACAGGTAGATGATGGCTATGGCTCTCACGAAAGTCAGGTTGCAAACGGGCCAGTCAAAGTCAATGTGGTGCGATGTGGTGCAGGGTGGTGCAGGATGGAGCAGGGTGGTGCCGTGTGGTGCAGTGGTCCGTGCTCAAGGCAACGGCAACGGCAATGCAACCGCAGCCCGCAACCTTGACATGCATCTCCTGCGGCTCCTATATATGGTCCCGTTTTCACTCCTGGTCTACAAGGACTACAGCTGGCTACACAGAGTGCATGGTTTCGGATGGAAATAGCACACCATTACTGTGGCTTCGAAAAGAAAGCTTTTTTTGGCCACGGAGCAGAGAAGCCATGACTGACTGCAGCCAGGAAAAAGGACCAAATATGCACAGAAATTTCGGTTTAGTTTAAAAGTGTGCAGGAAGCGTAAAGTCAAAGTTGGACTGCCACTGGACTCGAATTGGAAAAAGCGCTTACACGTTGATGGCTTTTCCGGGGTTAAAGAATTCCCCGATGGCCAGAAAAACCGCTCGTTCTTGGCTCGTGCAACAAGATAAGCCAATTTCAATTTTGATTCAAATGCGGCAGACGTCGGTGACTCAAAATGCCAAGTTGGCGATGTCGATGTCGATGTCGATGTGGATGGCAATAGCAATGGCGAATGGCTTTAACGGAAAGCTGCAAAGTTCAGGCTTCGGCGGTTTTGTGGCCGGGACACGCTGCTCTTCCTGCTGCGTCTTGACATTTAAATGTGTTTGCATTTGCCAACTACGACAGAAACAACAACCTCGAACATCGTTTAGCTTGGCAAACAAGTTTTGCATAGCCAAACGGAGCCAAAGCGGAAACGAAGCCGCACAAGAAGTCACATATGCATGTTGATTGCTTTTGCTTCGCCAGCCATGCTGCACTGGGAAAAACGTATTTCAGAAACTATTGATTGAAGTCCTATTCACGCCTGAAGGGTATATTTTAAATTATAAATAAACAATCTTGAATTACTCTGAACTTCTCTGGGGAAATAAAAACATCTAGAAGCCAGAACACTGTAGTTGCCTATATGTAGTTTTTAAATATTTAAATTGGTTTAATATTTTAGTTACTGCCAATATAAGGATGTGTTGACCAAATGCTTAAAAGATTTGTGTTGCTCTTGAAACGATTTCCTTGAAGTTATAATGACTTAACTTGAAGATATAAAATAAACCTTTATTTCTAAATCAATAAATGTTCTTCCTGAATTGTTTTTCTCTGTGTAACATCCACTATCATCCACCAGAACCAACTGGCACCCCATTGCGGTGGCTTTTCTGTGCATTTGTTGATCCATATGCGAAAGGCGTTGCCGTTTCCCTACAAAACATTCGGCGACTGCGAAACTTTGGGAGCATTTGGTGGCTGGAAAGACATGTAATGTAATTTTCATATTGAGACCCGATGACGATAACGTCTGGCGGATTCAATAAACTTTTTCATGTTTACCATCTTTGTGGCACGCATACGCAAACAAATTGTTTTGGGCCAACTTATGGCGACTGATGGAAAGTAAAAGTGAACTCAGTGCCAACTTAAAGGTGAATTTTACTTTTCTTTTTAGGCATTTCTAACCATGTTTACTCAATATGTCCCGAGGGTGAAAGCCACATCGGAAAACTCCATTAGCAACTTAATTAGGACAAGGCTGTTTTTGGATTTCAGCCAACCCTCTCTTTTTATCTGCGAGAACGTGACCTTTGGCAAAGCGTTTATCACGCTTAGGCTTTTACAGAGAGAAAACAAATTTAAGGACTGCTAGAATCAGCAAAAGGATTTAAATACATGAACACCAGACAGCTTGATATTTTAAATCAATTCAAATGGCAAATGCTTTGGGTAATAGAACTACCTGCCTGTCAATAGTTAAATTGTATTGTCAATATTAAATCGTTTAATTTGACATTATTTATTGTTGCGATCTTGCCCAATTGCATATAGAAATAACCAATATATTATTGAATTTTTCTGTTCCTTGAGGGTCCTTAAAAAATCATTTTGTGTAATATTTTTGACGTGTAAATTATTTGTAATGTATGTAATCTTATTGTACTGTTGCAAAAGACAAAAAATGTTAGCTTTGAAAAATGTTGTTTGGATAACAAACTTTTTTCAAATTTTAAATTATTGTTGATTATACCAAAAATGTATAATACCTAAAAAGAAGTGGTATATTTTATCTGATTTAAAATCGGACACCAACAACTTCAGCCTGCCAATACCAATATTCTTAATTTCTTAAGTTTTACATTGATTATAAATATAGAAAATATTAACAAAGAATTCAAAATATGTATATATAACGTACTTATGTTTTAAATAAAAAAGTATATTCCTAAGTGTCTAGGTGAGGCAACGAAAAGCAGATCCGAAATAAAACTCACCCAGTAATGGATTGGTGGCATTTGGGTTGCCGATTACCACGCCGCCGGAGGGGTAATTACCGCCGCCCCCCGAAGCGGCCACCACCCCGGTGGGCGGGGCCGGGGTGCCGTAGCCGCCCAGTCCGCTGCCAATGCTCGCCTGTTGCTGCAGTGGGGCATGTCCGTGTTGCTGCTGCAGCTGCTGTTGCTGCTGTTGCTGCTGCTGCTGCTGCTGCGGAAGTGACTGCTGCTGCTGCTGCAGTTGCTGCTGCGGAAACGGCGCCTGCTGCTGCTGCTGCTGACCGGAAACGAGGCCGCCAGGTGGGGCGCCACCAGAGCCCGACTGCTGCTCACTCGACTCCTGGCGGGAAAGCGAGAAGCGGCGATTGCCCAGGCCCAAACTGGAGATGCCACTTGTTACATATTGCTGCATGGAGCTGAGGAAACTCATGGCGGCATCTGGCTTTCTTATCGCTTGGCTCGAGTTGCTGTCTGTTCCTCTTGTCTTTTTGTGAAATTAATCACTTGGAAACTTTGCTTTGCCTACGCAATTCGTTATGTTTCTCCGATTATAAATTGGTCCAGATTCTTGCTGCTGTTGTCTTATCAAGGCTCTGCAAGGATAAAAAGGAAACGAATTGTTTGTTTAAGGTAAAACTTCTGCTATCCACTGGAGAATGGTTTTCTGCTATTTTTGGCAATAATTGAATTCCGGGCCCGGGACTTAAGCCGATGCCGAAGATGGGGAATTATGTGTATATGTAAACATTTTCGTGTTCAGAGATTAAAAGCAATTACAAAACACAAAAGCCAGACGATAGGCTCTTCATTTGCCTTTTTGCCGTAGCATACTTTGCAGCTTTGGAATTTCATCGGAGCCAAACAAAAAATTAATTAAGCCAACTTGTTTGGCACTTTCATAGTCACTGCATTCTAGGACTCTGATTCCCCCTGGAATTTCCCCAATTCTCCCACCATTTTATTTGTCTTTGATTCGTTTCGTCAGCATTTTTGTTGACTTGCCGCTCCAACTCCTGTTTGTTTAGCCAAATTCTGTACAAATATCGAGGGGAAAAAGCGATTGCATTTAGGCATTGGCTGTGACTATACATCGGTTGATTGGACGGAGTCGTATTGCTCACTTAAAGGCACGGCTCTTAATTAAATTTCTTTTCAAGTACGCCCCGAGTCCGCTGTCCTAATTAACGTTTAATCAGCTGAGCCTAATGATCCGTTTTTGGGTTCATGGCTAATCGATCTGTATGAATAATTGTGCCACACACTTTTCCTGGCCCATAAATTAGCCCCTATGTAGTTTTTTTTTTTTGGAACGCCGCGGCAGCCCGGCCCCTAAATACTAATAATAATAATTATACGACCAAAAATAAACGCTGGACCAAGCAGAAAAGTAGTTAATTAATTAGTTTGCCAGGTTTGGCTCGCATTTATGGATGAGCAAATCAGCTGGCGAAAATGAAATTGCAAATTGAACACCAGATTTGGTCCTGGTTTCCCAGGCTATTCAAACGTGACCGGCTTAGTTGTCCGTCTTTTCGTTGGCTAAAATCACCATGGAAATATAGCCGGATGAAGGCTCTTAGGTCATTCCAATTTAAGAAGAAGCTCAAGCTTAGTGTTGTTAATTAAAGATTTTAATTCCAAATGTTCATGTATTCTTGTCGAATTATGTATATTATTAATTATGGCCATTGATTTACCTTGCCTTTTATGAAAAGTCATTCCACAGTGGTATTATTTCATAAAATCTAAGTTATTACCCTTCATTTATTGCTATCACCATTCCAATATCTATCGAGATAATGTCATGATAAGGTTTTACTGAGATCAATAACATTTTTCCGAATAGCTGGTGTTAAGCTGGCCCAAAAACAAAATACTCGACAAATGTCAACCTGTTTACTGTCGTCACAAGAATAAAACTGATTAAATTCACAATATTATCGTAGCTGGTAACACACAGGATGGTGTAGTTAAGCACTCTCGGGGACAATGAATGGTATTATGTTCTGGGCTGAGTGGCTTTAAATGCCATAAAGGCAATGGGGGACTGGCTGAACCAGGGTCAGGATATGTCCTTTAATGGCCAGCAGTCATAGCAACTGGAACTACAGTTGGCAAACAATTCGCAGCCAGCAAAAACAATGGCCAAAACAGCGATGATTGCGATGTGTAAGCCATTGCGTTTGTGGGCGTAATCAGCGCATTCATGCATGGTGCTTTCTCCTTGTCTCACTCTAACACCTATTTCCCTCTCTCTCTCTGCTGCATATACCCCTCTCTTTCTAGGCGGCTTTAGCTTCCGCATGTTATCCCGCTTACTGGTGCCATAATTAGCGGACTCTGAAAATCATTTGCAAAGCATTTCTATTATCTTGTTTTGTGTGTGGCTCGTTTTATTTGGTTTTTGTTTTGTTTTGGAAAATGCTAAAAATAAATCAGCCAACACACAAAAGTTGATTTATATGGTGCACGTAAATTTGCCATTAAGCGACAGACAAATGTATTGCAATTAAATGAAATGGAAGCGGTGCCCCAATAGCAACAGCTGCCCACCACCTATACGTTTATTTGTGTGTGTGTGTGTGTGTGTGTGGGAGGTATAAATACGCAGCCAACTTAGACTTTAATTAAGATTAATTAGTCACTGGCCAAGTCAGGCTGTAGAAAGTACCATGTGTGTGGGTTAGCGGGTGGGTTACATACACAGAAAGTTCAGAAACAAGATAAATGCCTTTTAATACTATTAAAAATGCTTATTTACTTTTTTACTTTTCTGCAATAAATCCACTATCGTTAAACACTACTTAACCTCTCTATATAACAATTTCGAGCTAAATAAAGTTAAATTAAGGTTCTTAATAGAAGTATATTATTTTACAAGAGCGTTACTATTTTAATAATTAATTTTAATAATTGAAAAAATTAAGTAATTTTCTGATGAATCAACAACTTTTTCCTTGACTAATTAATTTTCACAGTGTTCCAATGTAAGCCATAAAGGAAGTCTACAAGGCAGCTTCTTCTCGCTGTTGCTTCAATCTATTTAGTTTTTATTAATGGTTGCGCATACGACATGTGGGCCAATGAGGGAAGTGTGTCCGGATGTGCGCACCGACAGCAACCCTTGTTCGTAAAAGTTTTCCCAGCTCGCGGAGGAAAAAACTAAATTAAATGTGGATTGCATTAATGTGACTTCCCAAATATTCCGGAGAGCTGTCACAACACTGCGCTCTCCATCAACTCCCAGTAATTATCGTTTTTTGTGCCTCGAAATGAACTGAGACGAGGGTTTGGCTGACTGTTTCACGTTCAAGTCAATTTTAGACACATTTTGTGAGCTGATTTGGTTACCACGCATAATTTAAAAGCATTTCCTGTGCCCACCCACCTGTGCAAACAATCCTGCGGTAGAAAGTTGCACACCAAAAAGTTGCGAAATCCAAATAAAAGGCGGAAAATTGAAAAATAAAATCTTAGCCATCGCGAAGTGGAATTTGTGATACGCTAACCAAAGCTTAAATGTTGGTAAGCCCAAAACAGGAAGGAAAACAAATAAACCGCTAATAAAAGATTTCTTGGAACCAAAATATTTTTCGAGATAAATATAAATTTTAGGGTGTTTTAAATTTTAATGTTCCTTTCCATATACCATATATTGTGCAAAAAATATCACAAAGCCACAGCTAAAAAAAACGCAGAATCCCCAAAGGGAAAGGAATTCGCGCACATACAAAAAAAAAGCAATTGTAAGGCAATTTCAAAGGCAAAATTATTATGTCGCTTTATGTCATTTTTTTGTAGAGAAAGCCAAGTTTTTGCCAGGCAACTGGCAGATGAATGTGTTGCGGGGAAAATTCAGGATGTTATGGAGGTGGAAATGGGGATTTTAGGGTGCACGGTGGTACGTGAAAATGACAAAGCAGCTGCTCAACAACAAACGGCAACGCATGCTCTGGCATAAAATTTATTTTCCCTCTCGTCCCGACATGATATGTGGCTTTAAATATCTGCAAAAAAAAGGAGGAATGAAAGAAAAGCCAGCATACCGTCAGAAAAGCAGAGAAAGAACTCGTTTACATTGCGGCAGATATTCCAGATTCGACATCTGAAAAGGCAAAAATGGCCAGGGGTTGGTCCTAAAAACTGAGCCAAACAAATGTGCGGCATTCAAATGTCTTCCTTGGTTGAGCGTTTTGTGTGTGTGGGCGTTGCAAAACATAAATTACTTTACGCACGGGCTGCCATCTAAGTTTTGTAACGTGCAACGAGGTTTGGAATGCTTTGGACCCGTCCTTGCTGGGGCACGCGTTATGTTCCGGCTCTTGCTCGTCGGCTTTGGGGGTGGAGGTCTTGCTTCGGACGGATCATGCTAGTTACACATTAATAATACTAAGTCGAGAAAATTTGCGTGCTAGCGACAAAAAAAAAAATGCAAGAAATAACCGGTAGAATTTGATAGATATTCAAGAGTTAAAAGAATAGCGAAGAAAGTATTGAAGCTGCGCGAGAAAGTAAACAAGGCGAAGCCACTGATGTAAATGTGGTCGCACTTTGCCCTCCCAACCTGTGATCATCTTCCTCTAGCGTTTGCTGATGATCCCTTTTATTCTACCACCGCGTAGACATCAGCTGAGTTCAGATAGTTTAGTTTAGTTGGTTTTCATAATTCAAATTCAACACAATTTAATATTCAGGCTAAATCTAGGGTATAACATTATCAAATAATTCTAAAGAATATAAGCAATGATAGGGTATGGTATAATATGGTAGAGTAAGTAGATAAATTTGTAACAAAATAAATATAAGAATATAATTTTTTTTTTTAGAACACTCCAAGCGTGGTGACTTATTTTTTATAAAAATTATTTTTTGAATTCCACTTCATCTAACCCAAGTTTTGTGCACTTTCTTTCTTTTTTAATTTTTTTTTTTTTTATTTATTTTTATTTATTTATTTTATTTTTTTTTTTATGCAAATACTTCATTAATTTTCGGTTTTAATTGCGTTCTCACAACTCTTGGCAAATTCTCATTAAAATTCAATGTAAAAATTTCTTCTTTCATTATGTAAATAAAGTAAACATAAGTAAAGCTTGCGCAATATAACTCACAAATTTTATCCAGATCCAGCGACGAAAGATCGATCTCCCGATGGCTGAAAGCTGAAAGAGATATTTAAAGGTCGCATAGGGAGCTTTGTTGGCTACTCGAAAACCATAAAGAAAAAAAAATGTAATTGGCCAAACGCTGTGTAGAATGCAACTTAATGCAAAAAGAGCATTGTTATTGTTTGGTCAGAGCTTTAGACTTAACAGCGCGCATATGCATACACTGGAAAAATTTAGGTTAGATAATCAAGAAATATTATATAAGCATATTTTAGAAACTTCAAACAACTTTAAATTAATTGATTCTTGAAATGATCATCACTAAAATAATATTATATCTACAAAAAAAAAATTTATTTGCGTAACTCGAACACGCTGCTCCTCAAAGGGGCTCAGAAATTTTGTCTTGGCAGGTTATATAAGAAGAGCAAAAGGAATAAAAATAAAATTTTTATAGACTCTCTCCATATTTAAAAACGTGTGGATTTTCCATGTGAGAAGGGTTCGATCGCGAGCATCGTGGTGATATATATAACGGCTGCAGGTTGACGACGGTCTTGGGGATTAAATTTCCTCCGTTTTTTTTCTGCAGCAATGGGTTAATGCCGGCGACTTGTTTAGGAGCGTTGTATTAGCTAGCTACATTAGTTCACTTCTCTCCCCTTGCCCGAGGCTTAGGGGCATAACCTACTAAAAAGCACTGCGGTTAGGTTTGGCCGATCCACACTATTCACTCGTTTACATACCTCCGGATCCTGCCCCTCGAAAGCCTGATTTACTCCCAGAATTCTCAGCCACTTTCAGCAGTCGTGAGATCTTAAGCCGGACACGAAGCTATCCCGTGATCCGACTTTTCCAAAATTTGTCCCTGTAGAAAAATTAGGTTAACCACGCGGGTTCACTTTGAATCCCCTTATAACTCACTTTTCTCTGCAAACAACACCTTCCTGCAAACACCACCGAAAATACCCTTGGCCTGGGGAATTCGACGCGGTGGCACTAATAGCCAAGTTCTCAGCACTAATTTGATTTAAATTTTCACATTAGCTTCCCGCACAGAGGTTATATTTTACCGTGCCAACGGACACGGACCGGACTGTCGGTTTCGGATGCGCACAAAGTAAAAAGGTCGTCCCAATTGGAATTCGAGCTTTTATCTGTTCGGATGCAGCGAAAATTCTCCAGGAACGTGGTTCCTAAAATTTTAGTCCAACTACTCAACACAGCCCTGGCTCAGGATTGCGTTTATCCCAATCAGAGTTCAACCGATAGGTCCAACTGGCAACGCTAACGTGGTTGACAACACTAACGTGGTCGGCAACGCTACCGTATTGGCAACGCTAACACAGTGGCAACGTTGGTGCGATCGTGATCAGGTGGCAATGCCTAGTTAAAACTGGCACTAAACCTAGATCCTTGCGATCTGGCTACTCGGAACGCCCGCTGCAACGGCTGCAATAATTTAACAGCTATTCAAACTAACTACTTTATATTTCTTCGCTTGAATTTTATTTTTTTTTGGGTTCATGTTTCAAAGTCCCTTCAGGGCCCTGCTACAAAGCCCCCCCACTACTTTCAGGCTGGGGTACATTAGCATTGATACACCAGACTGAAACCGCAACTGAAGGGACGCTATTGTCGAATGTCTTTAGCATGGTACTTCCCTATTGAACGTCCTTGCAAATCTTCGAGCTCGTAATATGAGTTTCCTACTTTTCCACGAACTCTAGCTTTAACGAATGCAGGCCCGAACTTGGAGTTATATCCTGTCTGGAAACAACTTTGTTTGAAGTTACGCCTGTAAACTTCCTGGCCTTTTGTGAAAGATACATGCCTAGCCCGCAAGTTATATCTTTTTGCGTTTTGTTCGTACGCCTTTAACATGTGGCTAGAAGCTTGCTGTCTAATGATTTCAAAAGAATCAGGTCTACTAAAAAGGATAGAACGATCATCCAGCAGATTCAATTTTCTGAGGAGTGCGTAAGTTGATCCCGAGGTTATCATATGTTGACCGAAAGTCATATAATAGGGCGAAGTGCCTATACTCGAATGTACTGAGGATCGCAAAGCACAACATATTTGGTTGAGGTGCTCATCCCAATCCTTTTGATCTGGACGCAAATAAGATCGAATGCCGGAAATGACCGAACGATTGACTCTCTCCGAGGCGTTGGCCTGAGGCGAATGCACTGCGGTAAAAGTGTGCGCAATTTCATACTTGGAGGTCAACTTCCGAAATTCTTCTGAGCGAAATTGTGATCCATTGTCGGACACAATCGTCTCCGGTACTCCGAATGACATAAACAAATCATTTCCGAGATATTTTACCACTTCTCCTGCGTTTATCTTTCGAACAGGCTTCAAAAATACGTATTTCGTAAAGTGATCCAACACAATAAAAATACCGATATTTCCGCTCCTTGATCTTGGATACGGACCAAGAAAATCGATGTATAACCGTTGGAAAAAACGCTGAGTTTCGGGTGATTTCCCCATCGGCGGTCTAAGGACGTGATTTGGAGCCTTTGTAGTTTTACAAACTTCGCAAGAGCTTATGTACTTTCTTACGTCGGATACTAACCCTGGCCAGAAATAGTACCTCCTAATCCGTTCAATCGTCTTATGAATTCCACCATGAGAAGAAATAGGACTATCGTGTGCTTTCATAAGGATTTCAGGAACTAAGGCTTTCGGAATCCACAGTTTCCAAGCGTACTCGTCGTGGACTTGCATGCCAGAGAGATGTTCCGCTTTGCGATAGAGATATCCATCTTCTACTTTTAGATCGGGAAAATTGTTTTGATTGGCTTTTACCTGCTTCAATAGTTCTAAATATTCTGGTGATTTGAAATGGCCTGAGCCTAAGTCGACTAACAAACCCTCTCGTATATCCAATGCAGCGATTTCATCTTCGTTTACTCTAGACAACACGTCAGGTACCACGTTCAGCGAACCCTTCCGATGCTCAATAGTAAACCGAAACCTTTGTAGAGATAACGCCCACCGAGCCAAACGAGAACTAAGGTCGGTGTTAGACATGAGCCATTTTAATGATGCATGATCAGTGATGATTCGAAACTCATGCCCTTCTACGTATGCTCTAAAATTTTTGAGAGCCACAATTGCGGCTAAACATTCTAGCTCCGTCACCGTATAATTACGCTGAGCCTTATTTAACTTCTTAGATATGAATGCGATAGGACGTTCGTCCCCTTCCTTGGATATTTGCACAAGTACAGCACCTACTCCGGTCTTACTGGCATCGCAGTGAATTGCAAATGGCTCTGAAAAATTGGGACTACTCAGCACAGGAGCCGCACACAAACAACGTTTTAACTCGTCGAATGCTTTGAGAGCCTCTTCGGTTCAGACAAATTTCCTTTTAGTTGTCATCAAATCAGTAAGTGGTGAAGCCAAAGAGGCAAAATTAGAGACAAATTTGCGATACCATCCGCATAAGCCCATGAACCTTCTCAAACTACGGAGGGTTTTTGGAGCTGGGAAGTTGCTTATCGCCGAAATCTTCTCAGGATCTGTTCTAATGCCGCCATCGCCGATGATGTGGCCTAAATAACGTACACTCCGCATGCAAAAATGGCTTTTCCCCACGTTAATTGTTAGTCCAGCTCGCCTTAAGTGCAGGGCTATTTCTCTAAGGACTTCTAAATGCTTTTCAAAGTTTGAGGAAACCACTAAAAGATCATCTAAATAAATGAAAACCTCGTTTCTAAGGGATGCAGGAATAACCTTGTCCATTAATCTTGACATTGTGCTGGTCGCATTGCACAGTCCGAAAGGCATTACTTTAAACTGATAAAGAGGTCTACCGGGAACAGTAAAAGCAGTCTTGTCTCTAGACAAGGGATCCAACGGAACTTGCCAATAAGCGTCTTTTAGATCTATACTCGTAATGAACTCAGCTTTTGGCAAGCGACTGAGTATTCCATTAATCTGCGGAAGTGGATAAGCGTCTTTCTCAGTAAAGCTATTAACTTTGCGACAGTCTAAGCATATCCGCACCTTGCCTGGTTTTGTCACCATTACTATTGGGGAAGACCACGAGCTTTCCGACTCCTCGATCACTCCAAGTTGCAACATGCGATCTATTTCTGCATACATTGACTTCTCCACCGCAGGTGAGACCGGAAAATGACGCTGCTTAATCGGCTTTGCATCGCCTACATCAATGGCATGGGATATTAAATTCGTTTTCCCCAAGCCCTCTTGAACAAACGATGGAAAACAATTGACAACAATATTTAACTTTGCTTTTTGCGTGTCAGTTAATTCATGTCTGTTGACATCGACTCCTTCATCACAACAGTTAGGAACTTTCTCCACTTCTGACAAATTGCTTTGGAAATAAATCATAGGATTTCCAGAAATCCACTCCTAAATACAATTGTTGTTTCAATGAGGGAACGATATAAATTGAAAAAGGTTTTTTTATCTTTTCGAATTCCAGATCAACCTTTATTAATCCTAATACCTGTTGAACGGTTCCATCGGCCGTGCTCGCTTTCTGTTTAAGGGGCTTGTAAGCCATTTGGCTGTCTATTACTTCTTTGGCTAGCTCTCCTCCGATACAGGATATCGAGGCTCCTGAATCTAACAGGCCGTAAACAGTGCGATCTAATAATTTTACTGGCAGGAAAGGACGAGGGTCTCGAGATTTTATAGGAACTTCACTGATCTGTTTGATACCTATTCGACAACTTCGAACATTTTGCCAAAAGGATCTACATCTAGAAGCGTTTCGCCCTCTTGAAGGTTTTAAAGGAGTAATAATACTTCCCTCAGAAATTTTAATTTCCGAAATTTGTGCTATCTTTTTATGTAATAACGAAAATTCAGGCTTATTTTGTTCGTCCGGTATATCTTTTGAAGCATTTTCAGAGGCTTCATTTATTGCTCGGTCATCGTTGACTGACTGCGTAGAGCACTGGATGTCTTCGGTTTGAACCTTGACCTCGCAGCGCTGCCTTTGAAGTTTTTTGAACACTTCAAACAGCTAGGTTTATAAGTGTCTGCGGCCCCGCATCCATAACAAAACACTCTACGTTCCGACACGCACTCTTGGTAGCGGTGTCCTTCTTCTTGACAGTTCCAACATGTTAAGGTGAAGGCTTCTACTGCCTCATCTTCCTCAGATTCACTGTACCTCTCCTTCTCGCTCTGTACTAATTCGGAAACCTCTCTCTTAAAAGGGTTATTTTTGGAGTACCCGTAACTCCGCTTAACGTCTTCCAAGAAAGATTCACGCCGCCTGCAGATCTCCCTTAACGCGGAAACCGTGTTAATTTCGACGTTTAGTATTTCGGACTAATTTTCCGGTGTTCCACGGTTGCTCAAGTTGGTCGATTAACGCTGATACACTGTCGAAAAAACTCTCGAAGCTTTCAGCAGGTTTCTGCTTCCGGTTTCGAATCATTTCTTCGATGTCTCCATCATCTCTTCCCTGACGGAACTGCATGCGTAAGGCTTCGCATAAACTGTCCCAGCGAACTAATCTTACTGACTTGTGATATCTCCAATAAAAATCATTCGCCTTGCCTTCAAACAAAACGTTTGCATTGCGGCACAATATCCCGAAATTCCCCTCTAGGGTTTGATGAGTAAGAGCTTCCACTCTATATATGAAATTGTCTACAGTTACCCCTGTTCCGGAAAATTTGACTTTCCAACTGTTCAAAATCTGGGCTACCTTATCGGGTCTTTGCGACAACTCACTACCGCTATTAGCTTGTGATGCTGGAGAAGCTACTATCGATCCTGATCTGTTCCTGGTTGGGTTAGGGTTTCTCAGGTTTGGAAACTCCCCGTCTTCCATATCTAATTCGCTTCGTCTATGGGATCTTTCGTCTGAATTCGACTGTGATCTCTGATAAGCTCTGCCTGCGGCTTCGGCCGCGATAGAATTTTGTGCCTCTAATACTCTTTGTATACACTCTCCTACGGAGCTTTCCAGCTTATCGGTCAACATGGCTAAAAGTCGCTTTTCCATTGCCAACAATGTAATATCGTTTACAGCCCTAGCTGTATCAAATGATGGTTCGCTGCTGACACTAGGAGTAGTACTTGTGTTCTGAACTTTGCTGCCTGTTGCTACACTCTTGCTAGTTCCGGATTGCTGTGCTCGGGAGACAGCTCGGGCTTCACGGGCACTCCCAGTTGGACCGCATTGAACCTTGCAAACTGGACAAAGGGTGCTTTTCAAAAAGTGAGCTTCTAAGCATAGCTTATGGAAATCGTGCTTACATGGTGTTTTTAGTGCTGTAGCTACGGATTCAATCTCTGCCTTACAAATGGGACATACTGGCTTAGGGTTTTCCCCAGCGGCGGTGTTATCAGGGGATCGGTCCAAACCCATTGTAAATTTATGTAGTGTTATTTTAATTAAAGAGAAGAACTTAGATAAAATAAGAGAATCTTGTTGGTATTAACACTCTCTACTAACTCAACAAAATTTGGTAAGATAAAAAAATATAATCTGAACTGAACTCAAGCTGGATGCTACGCGTATAGCAGTATTTTATTTGTTTACTAAATTTTCTCGCAGAATTTACAAGAGATTCGATTTCCTGCTTAGAGAACTGCC